CGCCATTTGCAGTATTTTTGATCTGTCAGAATTGAAACATAATAGCTGAAAATAATCGCAGCAAGTTTTTCCATTTGCTTTTGATTACAGCTATTGGATCTGGTGAAGGTGTAAGTGCGCCTTCTACTGGAAGTTCTGTGTATAGCAGTGTAATTTAATTACTCTCCTCCATTTGAAGCTTTTTTTTTTTTTTATTTACATGCACATTTCATTTGGAAGGTTCTGATCTTTGTACACAATTTCTATAATGTTTAGTTAAAGTCTATTAAGTCTGCATACAATTCATTTAGTTTCATTGTAATTAAATCATATTGCCAGGCAAACCGCCCAAAGAAGATGTTCCCCACCCCCAACCCCTTCTGGCTAATCTCCTAACTACCCTTTAAAAAAAAAAACAAAAAAACTAAAAGCCCCACACGCTTACCAAAATGTGCAATCATGTGATGCACTAGGTCTCGAGTACTCTTTGTCTGGACTGCAGAGTGGGAGGGTCCATTTTCAGGTATCCCAGGTGATGTGGACTCAATGAAGAACAAAGGTGGCAACAAGACCAGGCCGGGTGATGTGGACTCTTACTATTGGCTGCCCATAGGTGGGATCCTCATTGGGTCCTGAACATTCTGGTGGGACATGGTGATGTCAATGAGGAAGTAGGGTGGCAACAAGACCAGGGAAGGTGATGTGGACTTTTGCTATTGGCTGTCTATAGGTGGGATCCTCACGAGTCCTGAATATTCCAGCGGAGCGTGATGATGTCAATGAAGAAAAAAGGTGGGAACAAGACCAGTGGGGCATGATGACTTCAATGAGGAAGGGTGACAACAAGACCAGACCACGTGATGTGGTCTCCTGCTATTGGCTGTCCATAGGTGTGATCCTCATTGGGTCTTGAAGATTCCAGCAGGGTGTGATGAAGTCAATGAAGAAGAATGGTGGCAACAAGAAAAGGCTGGGTGATGTGGACTCTTGCTATTGGCTGTCCATAGGTGGGATCCTCATTGGGGCCTGAAGATTCTGGTGGGACATGATGAAGTCAATGAAGAAATAGGGTGGCAACAAGATCAGGGCAGGTGATGTGGACTTTTGCTATTGGCTGTCCATAGGTGGGATCCTCACTGGGTCCTGAAGATTTCGTGGGACATGATTCAGTCTATGAAGAAGTAGGGTGGCACAAGATCAGGCAGGTGATGTGGACTTTTGCTATTGGCTGTCCATAGGTGGGATCCTCACGAGTCCTGAAGATTCCAGTGAGGCATGATGATGTCAATGAAGAAGAAGGATGGAAACAGGACCAGGCAGCGTGATGTGGACTCCTGCTATTGACTGTCCGTAGGTGGGTTCCTCATGGGTCTTGAAGATTCCAGCGGGGCATGATGACATCAATGAAGATGGAGAGTGGCAACAAGACCAGGCCGCGTGATGTGGACTCCTGCTATTTGCTGTCCGTAGGTGGGTTCCTCATGGGTCTTGAAGATTTCGGGGCATGATGACATCAATGAAGATGGAGAGTGGCAACAAGACCAGGCCAGGTAATATGGATTCTTGCTATTGGCTGTCCATAGGTGGGATCCTCATTGGGTCCTGAAGATTCCGTTGGGACATGATGATGTCAATGAAGAAAAAGGGTGGCAACAAGACCAGGCCAGGTGATGTGGGCTCTTGCTATTGGATGTCCATAGGTGGGATCCAAACAGGTCCTGAGGATTCCATCGGGGCATAATGACATCAATGAAAAGAAGGGTGGCAAAAAAACAAGGCCAGGTAATGTGGACTCTTGCAAGTTGCTGTTCATAGGCAGGATCCTCGCAGGTTCTGAACATTCTAGCAGGGCATGATAGCTTCAACGAAGAAGGATTGCAACAAGACAAGATCGGGCAATGTGGATTCCTGCTATTGGCTGTCCATAGGTGGGATCCTGGGAATTTTTTCCCAGTGTTTAAATTGAAAAATTCCCAGTGTTTAAAATTAAGAAAAAAGGTGGCAACAAGACCAGGCTAGGTGATGTGGACTTTTGCTATTGGCTGTCCCTCTGTACCTCACGGTTCCCGAAGATTCCAGCGGGGCATGATGACATCAGTGATGACATCAGTGAGGAAGAAGGGTGGCAACAGGACAAGGACAGGTAACATGGACCCTTGCTAGTTGCTGTCCATAGGCAGGACCCTCACAGGTTTTTGAAGATTCCAAGTGGGGCATGATGGCTTCAATGAAGAAGAAAGGTAGTAACAAGACCAGTTCAGGTGATGTGAACTCTTTCTACTGGCTGTTTCATAGGTGGGATCCTCATCGGTCCTGAATTTTTTTTTTCCAGTTTTTAAATTAAAAAAAAAAACAAATTTCTTCTGAGGAAAATTCTTAACTAGTGACCTAAAAATTTTGCATAAAAATTTTGCCAAAATTGCCTTCTATTTTTACCTTGCAGCACTGCAGAGCAAAATTGGGGAGAAAAAAAACAAGTAATGTTAAACTGCCCAAGAACAGCAGAAAGCTGTAAAAAAACCCCCCCCTAAAATATATTTTTGTCCTGTTTCAGAAATGCTGTACTATTGTATACAGTACATGTCAGCTATTTACAGTATCTCCCAGAAGTGAGTCCCCCCCCCCCTCTCACATTTCTGTAAATATTTGATTCTCTCTTTTCATGTGACAACACTGGAAGAAATGACACTTTGCTACAATGTGACGTAGTCAGTGTACAGCTTGTATAACATGGAAATTTGCTGTCCCCTCAAAATAACTCAACACTACCGCCATTAATGTCTAAACCGCTGGTAACAAAAGTGACTCCACCCCTAAGTGACAAGGTCCAAATTGGGTCCAAAGTGTCAATATTCACGGACCTGTGTTGGACCTTGCGCCATTATTTGAGACTGCCCCACCCTGCAAGGCAGGGAAAAAAAACAAAGAGACCAGTTTTTTTTTTTGTAAAAAGCAGCACACATGACACATTGTTAGGCACACACTGGGGCCCCTTTACTACCCCGAGATGTTAACCCCTTCACAGCCGGTGTCATTAGTACAGTGTCAGTGTATAATATCAGCACTGATCACTGTATTATTGTCACTGGTGATGTCAGTTTTGTCAGTTACAGTCAGATTGTCCACCACACTAGCACAGTCTCACTACAAGTTGCCGATCGCCGCCATTAGTACTATTAAAAAAAAAAATTCCAGTACCTATCCCGAAGTTTGTACACGCTATATAACTTTCACATAAACCAATCAATATTACTTATGGAGATTTTTTTTTTTTTTTTTTAATGAAATTAAATTTTTTTCATTTTTTTTTTTTTGGTCTTTTTTCATTTATATAATAAAAAAAAATAAAAACCCCAGTGGTGATCAAATACCACCAAAATAAAGCACTATTTGTGTGAAAACAATTTATATAAATTTCGAAATTTTTTTTGGTACAGCGTTGCATGACCGCGCAATTACCAGTGCTAAGTATTTTAAAAAAAATGGCTTGGTCACGAAGGGGGTAAAACCTTCCAAAGCTGAAGTGGGTATATTTACAATAAAGATGGGTTCAGTTGTCACATAACCCAATAAAAAAAAAACTCTCACCAGCTGCTTCCTTGCAAAAGGTGTCTTCCAAATTCACATTCACGGGTGTAGACGTGTCATTTTGAGGTTATACAGTACAGAGTTTTTTCGCATATTATTCATGGGCGATGTTATGTTGGGGCTCCAGCCAGGGGTTCTATTCTGTTTCAAATTGACATTCCTCCTTAGACCTGTCCGGACAGTATAGTCATTTGCTGACCTGGCACTAGCCACAAGCAGCTTTACTCTTCAGTAAGACTTCTGTGTCTTATTGAAGAGTAAAGCTGCTTGTGGATAGTGCCAGGTCAGCAAATGACCATACTGTCCGGACAGACGGTGGGTGGGGTGGGTGGGGTCTAAGGAGGAATGTCAATTTGAATCCAACACAAAATTTTACTTCTGCTAGTTGCAATGCAGATGATGTCGGTGCACAGCCATTTTCAGATCTATCCAGAGATGTTCAATTGGGTTCAAGTCTGGGCTCTGGCTGGGCCACTCCAGGACATTCCCAGAGTTGGCCCATGGCCACTCCTTTGTTATGTGGGCTGTGTGCTTAGGGTCATTGTCCTGTTGAAAGATGAACCGTCGCCCCAGTCTAAGGTCCAGAGTGCTCTGGAACAGGTTTTCAACAAGGATGTCTCTGTACATTGCTGCATTCATCTTTCCTTCGATCCTGACTAGTCTCCTAGTTCCTGCCGCTGAAAAACATTCCCTCAGCAGCATGATGTTGCCACCACCATGCTTCACTGTAGGGATGGTATTGGCCAGGTGGTGAACGGTGCCCTGGTTTCCTCCAGACATGACGCTTGGTATTCAGGCCAAAGATTTCAATCTTTGTTTCATCAGACCAGAGAGTTTTGTTTCTCATGGTCTGAGAGTCCCTCAGGTGCCTTTTGGCAAACTCCAGGTGGGCTGCCATTTGCCTTTTTACTGAGGAGTGGCTTCCATCTGACCACTCTACCATACAGGCCTGATTGGTGGAGTGCTGCAGAATTGGTTGTTCTTCTGGAAGGTTCTCCCCTCTCCACAGAGAAATGCTGGAGCTCTTTCAGAGTGACCATCTGGTGCTTGGTTACCTCCCTGGCTAAGGCCCTTCTCCCTCAGTCACTCATTTTAGTTTGGCGGGCCCGCTCTAGGAAGATTCCTGGTGGTTCCAAACTTCTTCCATTTATTGATGATGGAGGCCACTGTGCTCATTGGGACCTTCAATGCTGCAGAAAATTTTTCTGTACCCTTCCCCAGATCTGTGCCTTCATACAATCCTGTCTCGGAGGACTACGGACAAGTTCCTTGGACTTCATGGCTTGGTTTGTGCTCTGACATGCATGTGGGACCTTCTATAGACAGGTTTATGCCTTTCCTCATCATGTCCAATCCACTGAATGTCCCACAGGTGAACTCCAATCCACTGAATGTCCCACAGGTGGGGAGTCCAATCACTGAATGTCCCACAGGTGGACTCCAATCCACTGAATGTCCCACAGGTGGACTCCAATCCACTGAATGTCCCACAGGTGGACTCCAATCCACTGAATGTCCCACAGGTGGAGTCCAATCCACTGAATGTCCCCACAGGTGGACTCCAATCCACTGAATGTCCCACAGGTTGAGTCCAATCCACTGAATGTCCCACAGGTGGACTCCAATCCCCTGAATGTCCCACAGGTGGAGTCCAATCCACTGAATGTCCCACAGGTGGACTCCAATCCACTGAATGTCCCACAGGTGGACTCCAATCCACTGAATGTCCCACAGGTGGACTCCAATCCACTGAATGTCCCACAGGTGGATTCCAATCCACTGAATGTCCCACCGGTGGACTCCAACCCACTGAATGTCCCACAGGTGGACTCCAACCCACTGAATGTCCCACAGGTGGACTCCAACCCACTGAATGTCCCACAGGTGGACTCCAACCCACTGAATGTCCCACAGGTGGACTCCAATCCACTGAACGTCCCACAGGTGGACTCCAATCCACTGAATGTCCCACAGGTGGACTCCAACCCACTGAATGTCCCACAGGTGGACTCCAATCCACTGAATGTCCCACAGGTGGACTCCAACCCACTGAATGTCCCACAGGTGGACTCCAATCAATGGAAACATCTCAAGGATGATCAGTGCGAACAAGATGCCCCAGAGCTCAATTTTGAGCGTCATTGCAAAGGCTGGGAATACTTATGTACATATGTACATGGGGGGGGGGGCTGGGAATACTTATGTACATGGGGGGGCTGGGGAGTACTTATGTACATGGGGGGGGGTTGTTTTTTTTATTTTTAATAAATTGCAAAGATTTCTAAAACAAACTTCTTTCACTTTGTCATTATGGGGTATTGTTTGTAGAATGTTGACAGTGATTTTGACAAGTGGGTGACTGCTAGACTGTAGCATCCCCTATGTTTGCACATCATGAACCGGGGGAAGGGGAGGCACAGTTTGGCATCTTTGCCCTGGCGCTTTCATTACCTTGTCCCGGCTGTCCAGACACAGTCGCTGCTCCCAAGGTGATATCCATGCTGGTGTGGATGCCCGCCCCTGAACGCATCCAGGATGCATTTCGAACCCAAATGGGACCAAATGTGTCTGTGCAGCTGCTGCTTCCCAACAATAGGACTGCCTGCACAGGGCTGCATGGAACACCAGTACATTGCAGGTTATGTCCGCCCCCTGTATGCCCATATGGACATTTCGCTCTCAAAAGTGCCTCCACACGTGGTGCTTGCCCCAGATTTACAACAGGTACATGAATCTCTTGCCCTTGACAATTGACACGTGGAGGCATGTCAGAATTCCAGGGACATTTTTTTTATCAATTCCCCTATTTGTCTTCTTACACTTGAAAAGTCCTCTGTATGTCATTAACCTCAAGTAAAATCCTGCTGCATTTAACTTCAGCGTCTTATTGAAGAGTTAAGCTGCTTATGGATAGTGCAAAGTCAGCAGGTGATCCTACTGCCCAGACAGACTGGGGTTTATTTACGAAAGCTGGTTCGCTCAGAGTCATGTGCACTTCTGCATGGGAACCAATCAGCTTCCAGGTTTTATTGCTAAAACTTAATTGAACAAGCTGAGGTTAGAAGCTGATTGGCTACAATGTACAAGTGCACAAAATTCTGAGTGAACCAGCTTTAGTAAATAAACCCCACTGGGTCTATGAGGTATGTCAATGCATAAAGCAACATTTCAAAGAGGGAAAAAAAAAGCCCCATAAAGTCTGAGCCTCTGAGGATTCCACATTTAATTCTTAACACCAGACCTTCGTCAGTGAATGTATACAGTCATGGCCAAAAATCTTGTCACCCCCCCCCCCCCCCCCGGCATTTATGTCAGATAACGCACCATTTCACCCAGGAAATTGTTGCAATGACAAATGTTTCTTTCTTTGGTTTGTATCGGTGACACAAAAAAAGTGGAGAAACAAAAAGCCAAATCTGACACATTCCACCCAAAACACCAAAAATGGACAAAATTATTGGCGAAGCGGTGCATTATCTGACAGAAATGCCGGGGGGGGCGGGGGGGGGGACGACAATATTTTTTGACCATGACTGTAGATATAATAAAATAGAAGGAATAATAAATAGTTGGCGGTCGGACCCAGAAGGGAGTTTAGTCTGCACACTTATGAGGGGCAGAGCCAAGGAAAGCATGTTACAGCAGATGGGTAATAATGATAAACATTGGAAGTCAAGTGGCTCAGGTATCCCCCCCCCCCACCCCCATTATTAGGCGGGGGAGGGGGGGTCATTATCTCTCACATAACTCATTTAACAGATTTTAAGAGTGTGGTCAGAGTCAAACATCTCCTCCCCATTAACAGCTAGACCAGCAATGGGCAAACTACGGCCCGCGGACCTTTTAATCCGGCCCGCGGAGCTAGGCTCCCGCTAGGCTCCTCTCACAGTCCGCCCTGAAGACCGGTGTAGCATGAAAATCTGTCTCCTATGAGGATCTGTCCCCCCTCGACGTATCTGCGCATGTGCCGGAGATCGCCGATCGGCTGCTAATGCCTGAAACTGGCACATGCGCAGATACGTCGAGGGGGACAGATCCTCATAGGAGACAGATTTTCATGCTACACCGGAACGGCGCGGGAACACGGCGAGAGGAACGCGTGGAGCAAAGGTAAGTGAATTGACACAGGGGGGGACTTGGGAACTTAATATGGGGGATGAATTAATATGGGGAATGAATTACTATAGGGGGGATGAATTACTATATGGGGGATGAATTACTATAGGGGGGATGAATTACTATATGGGGGATGAATTACTATATGGGGGATGAATTACTATGGGGATAAATTACTATGGGGGATGAATTACTATGGGGGATGAATTACTATGGGGGATGAATTACTATATGGGGGATGAATTACTATATGGGGGATGAATTACTATATGGGGGATGAATTACTATAGGGGGGATGAATTACTATATGGGGGATGAATTACTATAGGGGGGATGAATTACTATATGGGGGATGAATTACTATATGGGGGATGAATTACTATGGGGGATGAATTACTATGGGGGATGAATTACTATATGAGGGATGAATTACTATATGGGGATGAATTACTATGGGGGGGATGAATTACTATATGGGGGATGAATTACTATGGGGGATGAATTACTATATGGGGATGAATTACTATATGGGGGATGAATTACTATGGGGGATGAATTACTATATGGGGGATGAATTACTATATGGGGGATGAATTACTATGGGGGATGAATTACTATATGGGGGATTAATTACTATGCTTACTATGGATGACACATACACATCATTCATCTACTCTTGCTCCGGCCCCCGGGTCCAATATATGAACCCATTGCGGCCCTCAAGTCAAAAAGTTTGCCCACCCCTGAGCTAGACTAAAGAGTTTTAAATCCGTCTCCCACCTTGAATTGTTCCATATGGAGGTAAAAGTCTGAAGATGATGATTTTAGCTTCATTGTCTTCACAGAAGGAGCAATTCTGTTGTATTATTCACTATGTTTTTCTTTTGAGTATTTTAAATAATAGTTTTGGTTTTGTTTTCTTTTGGGGTTTTTTTTAAGCAGCGCAACGTTCTATCAGATACAAATGCGATAAACAAGCGGCTACAAAGATATTGGAAGGTCAAAATGACTAGGAAGGGAGGTGTAGCTGAGCTTAAATACAACATGAATGACTTCAAGATGACAAATGACTGATAATAATAATACTAATAATAATTATTATTATTATTTTTATCCACCACAGCTCTCACACCTGTACACCCCCTAAGAACAAACACAATTTTTACATTGCCTGTTGAATTGCCGATAATTTTGTTAATACCTAAAGTAACAAAATAACACTTTTTTTTTGGGGGGGGGGGGCAAACTGGGCTTTCTTCTGGCAATAATGTCTTGCAAAACTAATTATACTTTCTGTGCAATCTTTAGAAAAAAAATTTTTTTAAATATATATTTTTTCTTTTATAACGTTAGTTTATTCTTGATGGATAATAATAATATTATTATGTAACAAAATAAAGCTGAGTTTAAATACAACATGAATGACTTCAAGATGACAAATGACTAATAATAATAATATTATGCACCACAGCTTTCACACCTTACACCCCCTAAGGACAAACGCAATTTTTATATTGCCTGTTGATTGGCGATAACTTTGTTAATACCTAAAGTAACAAAATAACACTTTTTTAGGGGGGGAGCAAACTGGGCTTTCTTTTGTCAATAATGTCTTGCAAAACTAATTATACTTTCTATGCAATCTTTAGGGAAAAAAGAAAAATATATTTTTTTTTTCTTTTATAACATGTTAGTTTATTTTTTTAAGATCACTTTGTTAATACCTAAAGTAACAAAATAAAGCTGAGCTTAAATACAACATGAATTACTTCAAGATGACAAATGACTGATGATAACAATAATAATAATAATAATTATTATTATTATTATTTTTATCCACCACAGCTCTCACACCTGTACACCCCCTAAGAACAAACACAATTTTTACATTGCCTGTTGAATTGCCGATAATTTTGTTAATACCTAAAGTAACAAAATAAAACACTTTTTTTTGGTTGGGGGGGGGGGGGGCAAACTGGGCTTTCTTCTGGCAATAATGTCTTGCAAAACTAATTATACTTTCTGTGCAATCTTTAGAAAAAATATTTTTTAAAATATATATTTTTCTTTTATAACGTTAGTTTATTCTTGATGGATAATAATAATAATATTATTACGTAACAAAATAAAGCTGAGTTTAAATACAACATGAATGACTTCAAGATGACAAATGACTATAATAATAATAATAATATTATGCACCACAGCTTTCACACCTTACACCCCTTAAGGACAAACGCAATTTTTATATTGCCTGTTGATTGGCGATAACTTTGTTTAATACCTAAAATAACACTTTTTTTTTTTAGGGGGGGAGCAAACTGGGCTTTCTTTTGTCAATAATGTCTTGCAAAACTAATTATACTTTCTATGCAATCTTTAGAAAAAAAAAAAAAAAAATATTTTTTTTTCTTTTATAACATGTTAGTTTATTTTTTTTAAGATCATTTGTTAATACCTAAAGTAACACAATAAAGCTGAGCTTAAATACAACATGAATTACTTCAAGATGACAAATGACTGATGATAACAATAATAATAATAATATTAATTATTAAATTATTGTTGTTGTTGTGATTAATTATTATTATTATCCACCACAGCTCTCACACCTGTACACCATCCAAGAACAAACACAATTTTTTATATTGCCTGTTGAATTGGTGATAACTTTGTTAATACCTAAAGTAACAAAATAACTCACTTTTTTTTTGGGGGGGGGGGGGGCAATCTGGGCTTTCTTTTGGCAATAATGTCTTGCAAAACTAATTACACTTTCTATGCAATTTTTAGAAAAAAAAAAAAAAAAAATATATATTTTCTTTTATAACATGTTTAGTTTATTTTTATTTTTTCAAGTTATTTTAGTTCTTTAAGTTTTTTTATTTCAAATAAAAAGCTTATATTTTACTCCATAATT